CATATACCTGACTTCTTCTTTTTCCTAGTGGCCAAATTGTGTTTACAATACCCTTTGTGTGCGAGCTGCACTTAATAGGACAAATGCTCATGTCTGCTGTTTACCATGGGATAGGTTCATCTGTCATTGCAGCCTCCATTCCCATAGAAAGATTGCGCTGTTGCAGTCCAACCTTTGAAATGACTTTTATGAGTCTAGTCTACTGTGATCTAATAATTAACAAACCGTTATTCAATCCCTTACCTGAGTCACTAGATTTTCCTATTTATATGTAACTCAAAAATGTTCAACAAGTTGAACTTAATCTATTTCTCAATACCTCATAACATGTCAAAATTTAATATAGTGTGTCATCATTATTGTATATTAAAATATTTACATGAAATGCTCCAATTTAAAATTTAGGATTATCATTGTTTTTATTTACTTTATATTTAATTAGTTTTTTAGAATCACAGTTGGTAGTGGTGGATTCTAAAAATGACAAGTTTTCATATTCTCCTGTTGACTGACTAAAAAACTCTTCCTACATAGTCTGTCATTTTTGCTTCACACTTCACTGTACTATGAAACTTACTCAACTATTTGAAATTAATATTGCAATATTTACTAAGGTATAAACTGAGATTCCCATTTTCCAACACACCATGATGTCACTCTAAAAGTTTTACAGATAAAAGGATAGGTAGCTATGTAGCATTTATAGAGTGTTTTATACTACTTAAAACTTCAAGATAGGCAATCTCCTCGTATTACTTCAACTTTCTTCTTCTTTAGTCAGAACTACACTTAGAAAAACATGAAAGCTAAATCTATCTTACATAAGAAACCAATTTTCCTGTCCTGTCTAGCTCTTCATTCTTAACAATGGCTAAGCTAATATAAATACATGGTGCCTCCATCCATGAGATATCCTATAAAATAGATGTCTGCATGAGCTGCTGTTTATACAGCATTCAGAGTATTTAATGAAGATGTTATGCTTTTATAAAGCATTTAAAACTGCTATATTTCCATCCCTGTGATACATAGTACCTATATCATTTTTGTGGGATCAAATATGCATTGATTTGGGCTTGCCTTCTAGTAAAGCATGTCTGCCCAGTCAACTATTATTAACAACTCTATTTAAACCCTCACCAGGCAACATGAATAGCAGGGAACATGGCTTGAATTACAGAAGAGGTGATCTGTCATGAGGGGAGAGAGAGTATAGTGTGGGAGGATACAAGTTGACCTGAATTGTAACAGTGCCACTAACTCACACTGTGGGGTGAGCCAGATGATTGAAGCTTTCCCTCTAGGTCTCAGTCTCCTTGTCTGAAACTTTATGTGATTAAACTCAAATAACATTGCCAAGATATATTTCATGAGCTCTACAAACAAGAAATGATTTTTGCAAGAACAAAATAAAGAACAAAAAAATGAAAAGGATCTGAGGAAATATAGTGAGAATACACAAGAAATCAGTAGATGCACAGTGTACATTAATGAGACCCTGAGTATCTTGGCAGTAAAAAAAAAGTCTTGCATTGTTTTCAAAATTATTTTCTGAGTGTATTAGCAAAAAAAAAATCCCTTCTGACTCTCTTTTTATGTGGCATCTATTAAGATACCAAAGAAATACTATTCCAAGAGACAGACATTGGGAGCTGTTGAAGTCTAAGTGTCCTCTAGCTTTAAAATACATTTCTTTAAAAGATTTGGTGCCTCAAAAGTCTACTTCCTGATCTTAAAGGTCTTGGTTGAAGAGTTCACTCATATGTAGCACACCCTCTCTAGTTTTGCCTGTACAGAAGCAGAAGAGCACTTGAAGTTGCCCCAGACATCCAGAGGGATGAGCCAGCCACACAGTTATTTTCTTGGTCTCTGCTTTGGTCTCCCCCTGGTGTGTGCTCTTTGTACTCTGCTCAGGTCTCACACCATGCCCCAGTCCAACGCATTCTCCCACAGCCCATAGTCTACAATTCTACTCAGGCCCTACTTAGGAACACATAGTCTGGGACTCATAGCCTAACACCACGCCCCATCTAGCCAGAACTGAATATGAGTTATGCAAGAGAAAAAACATCCCACTCTAAAAGATATAAAAAGGCAGCTCTTTGGTAACCTTCCATAGGTTCATAGATGATTAAATTGCAAACAAGCAGAACAGGTTCAAAAAGAACAATATATCTGAAAATGTAAACCTATAATCAGTCCTCTTATTTGATATAGTAGCTACTAACTGATCTATTACTACAGGATGAAGAAAAGAATTCTTCTCCTGTAAAGCTCACACTCTCACTCAGGCTTCACAGAACTCATGGCAACTGATGATATTCTCTCACTTTGTCCTACTGTTTTCCCAAGCTTCCTTGAATCCCTTCTAACTTTTACCCTCCGAGGATTCACAGTTTATTGCATTTACCTACATTAAACATACTATCTTGTTTCTAGTTAACACTTACTAAAAGTTTAACTCAATTATTTGATAAAATTTAAGAAAAATACACTAGACTTTATTAGTTGGACATCTTCCATTTTTAAGTAACTTGAAACTAGATGAAATAATAAAGGAAACATATCAACTCAAGCAACTGAAATATTTAAATAAATGTATTTTGAGCCTCAATTTTGAAGCTCAACAATGTTACAAAATACCAGATTCTTTTTGTTATATTCTTCTTGCCTTCAGCATTATGTGTCCCATCATAAGATTGTCTTACCTTATGGTAACTGATTGGCTAGTCAAGCCTCATAGATTACATGTGTTATCACTCATATCAATCATGAGGAGTGAGAACCTCACCCTTCTTGAAAATTACACAATAGTCTCAGGATTTATTCTGGTTGATTCAGTTAGGATATTTCCCCATCCAATGAAATTGAAATACTGAACTACCTTAGGTCTTGAACTACCACTTGCTTCACAAAGAGTTGGACTGAATGGTTTGAAGAAGGTCTACCTCTGGAAGTTAGGATGAGGTCAAAGTCATTTGAATCACATGGTGAGCTTCTTTAGGACAAGTGAAGGGAAGTAGGAGCTTGAGAGGCAACTATAATATTCTCTCCCTCTCTGCCTCTTTCTCTCTCTTAAAAATCCATATTTTATGAGATTTTTATATTAAATCTCAGAAGCTCTATAATACTTGAATTCACTTTGGAAGTCATTTGTCCAACACTCAAAATATGCTGAAATATAACTCTTAATTAGTTCTGTTTTATACCATGTAACATGATCTGTGCACTTGATTGATCTTAGGATGGGCCTCTTGTCCTAAAGCAGAAAATATTTAGGCTACAAAACATAAAGAGACCCAATCAGATGGTATCCTTACTACTGAGATACACAGTTTTTTTCTGGAGCTAGGGCTGGAAGGATGACAACAATAAGTAAGCTAGAGCTGGAGCACTGAGGTCTCATAGGAAGCCCACATTTGGAGTAATAAGCTAAGGGACAGAACTCATACAGGTTAGAAAGGGAAGAAGTCTGGCCTTAATGAAAGGAGAAGAGAAGGTACAAAGGAAAGACACAAATGCAGAAGAATGGGGAATGAAGAGCAACCACATCTTCAATATCCCCATTCCTGAAGGCCTTCAGTCCCAGCTTCTGAAACCAACCCCACTTCTCATTCTGAAATCCCTGCTGCTGTTATTGCTCTCCATTTTCTTTTTCATAACCACCTGCCCCTTATGGGTGGTATTTCAAATAAATTTCTATTCCATAAAAATTATAGAAGCAATCCTGGCCAGGAGGCTCAGTTGATTGGAGCATTGTCCCATATTACAAAAGTCTGTAGGTAAGATTCCCAGTCAAGGCATATACCTAGGTTGTGGGTTCAACCCCTTGTCAGGATGCATATGGGAGGCAACCAATCAATATTTTTATCTCTCTCTCTTCCTCTCTGTTTAAAATACATAAAACATCCTCAGGTGAGGATGAAAAAGAAGTAAAAAAATAAAACTGATAGACACAAACTGAAGACCATATTATGAAAAAATTATTGGTTTAACCAAATAATTCACTATATTCACTATGAGGTTCTTTGAAAAAATAGTTTTACGCTTGTCATATATACATTTATCTTTTTTTACTGTTGTTCTATTGTCCCAGTTACAATTGTCCCAGTTTTCCCCTCTTGATCTCCCCTTCTCTGCCCATGCCCAGCTCCCATAGTCAATCCCTGCCTTATTGTCCATGTCCTTGGGTAATTTGTACCTATTTATTGACTAGACCCTTTCCCTTTTCCTCCCTTACTCCCCTCCCCACGCACCTCTTGTCCCTGTCAATATGTTCCTTGTTTCCATGTCTCTGGTTCTATTCTACTTGCTTTTTGTTTGGTTGATTATGTTCCACTTATGGATGAGATCATATGGTATTTGTCTTTCACTGCCTGGCTTATTTCACTTAGCAAAATACTCTCCAGTTCTATCACTGTTGTCATAAGTGGTAGGAGTTACTTCTTTCTTTCTGCTACATGCATTCCATTGTGTAAGTATACTACTGTAAATATACCACAGTAAATATAAATGATCCACTCATTTACCAATGGGCATCTAGGCTGCTTCCAGCACTTGGCTATGGTAAATTGTGCTGCTATAAACACTGGGGTGCATAGGTCGTTTTGGATTGGTGTTTCAGGATTCTTAGGGTATCATGTCAGCAGTGGAATTGCCAAGTCAAAAGGCAGTTCCACTTTCAGTTTTCTGAGGAAATTTCATACTGTTTTCCACAGTGGCTGCACCAGTCTGCATTCCCACCAACAGTGCAGTACGGTTCTGTTTTTTTCCACAGCCTTGCCAGCATTTGTTGTTTGTTGATTTGTTTATGATGACCATCCTGACCAATATGAAGTGGTATCTCATTATGGCTTTAATTTACATCTTTCTGATGGCTAGTGATGTTGAGCATCTTTTTATATCCCTATAAGTCCTCTGTATTATATCTTCTTTGGAGAGGTATGTGCTCATGCCCTTTGCCCATTTTTAATTGGATTGATGTCTTCCTGATGTTGTGTAAAAATATGGAACACTTCACAAATTTGCACATCATCCTTGTGCAGGGGCCATGCTAATGATCTCTGTATTGTTCTGATTTTAGTGTATGTGCTGCTGAAGTGAGTGCTAAATTTACCTTTTAATTTGTCCAGGAGCAATTGCTTCATATGATATGTATCATAATCAAACATACACATACACACATACACACATAAAGATTGCCTCCAGAATTATGAAGAAGAAAAAATGCAGGCCCTGCTCTTAATGCTAACACTGCTTCCATGCAAATGGTACAAGCTAGAGAGCAATAGCTCTAGGCTGAAGATATATGGGGCTGGGATATGTGACTCATATAGACATACGTGGATTTTCTCCCTGGTTAATTCAGGAAAAGTTGAAATGACTATTACCAGCATGCTAAACAGAAATGTTAATCTGTTTAACCATTAATTATTGAATAAATATGTACTCTAGTTCTAATTTACAGAATGTTTCTAAAATGCCTTTAGATGAAAATAATTGAGATAATTCCAAATAACCATTATTGAATTTAATAAATTGATCTGTTCTTTCAATGTTCATGCTTTTGTAATCATGAAGCCACAATTACATTCTAAAAAAATGAGTTGTAAGATTCTCCAGTACTTGTTTTACCCTGAAAGGAAAATGTAAATGTGGTGAGGTCACACACCTTGCCAGCAGAGAGGAGCCCTTGACATGCTGCTCTGGGTCCGCCTGGTAATTTACCTAGAAGCAGGGGTTCCACACTCCTAATGACCTGCCAGTTTGAAATCGTTCCTTGGCAATGGAAGCTTCCTACAGAGTTGAAAATACTGTCCATCTTGAGCTTGGGTAGCAAATTTAGTCTGAAGCAATATGGCGTTCACAATTAAAACCCTTACATGAGAGGGGAAAAAGTATGAATTTTTAATAAAGAAGAAGTCAATTGCTTTTGGATTCAAAATATTAGTTGTAAAATATACTCTCACATCTCTGAATCATTGCCAAGGAAATTTTATTAGTTATCTACATCCTTAGAGAGTAAATTTTCATTCCTCCGAGAAGCATTAACACTGGATCAATTAGTATTGGAAATTAGATTGTAAGATTTTCGATGTAGAAAAAGGTAGGCAGACTGTATTGCTTCTTAATGCATTCCTTCAGGCTGGCTCTCTCAGATACCATGAGAAGTTTCAAAACTATCCTCATGAACTTCTAGCTGCCTAGCTTCTAGCTGTGAGAGCAGTGGCAATCGGTGGGTGGCTGGCTGTGGGGGACGCCCTGGGGGACTTCGTGCCACCTCGGAGGGCCCCTTCAGCAGACTCTCTGAAAGCAATCAGGAGTGAATGCCATACCCTTCATGGCATTTCCTCATTCAAAAATTTTCCATAAAGTACCTCAGTCCCAGGGCATACATTTACTGTGTCCCACTCTTAGATAATCCTGCAAAAATAACTAAAATTATGATACTTCTTATTTACCAGTTCTGACTCAGAATTATATGAAAATCATATTCTTTATCTAAGCTCTAGTTAATTCCCTTTTTTAACCTTTCTGATGGGTATCTTGCTTCTTAGTTATAGTGACACACCCGATTTTTTATGCTCCAAGTGGGACAAAGCCAGACACAGGCTCTTGTTTAAGAAAAATGGGTGAAATGTCTCTGGAGCCACCAGGTCCCAGGGATATTCTCCAGGGACAGCAACCAGAATGGACACGTCTAGTAGTTTCCCCTCACCTGGGACTTTTTCAGCTGCACCCACAGGTCCCATGGCTCCATGACATGGAACTAGAAACAAGAGAAGCTAGGAATTTCTGGAGCTTCTTAGAATACAAAGTGCTTCCCAAGGTGTCTCTGAACCCTCACATTTGCCCACGGTCCAAGGCTTAACTTTCAGATGAAGAAAACCTACAAGGTACCTACTCTGTTTGTTTTTTTTTAATGACTGCAGCTTAATGTTGACCAGTGTATGAATAATTATTATATAGCAAAAGCCTTTTGTCTCTTCTGATAAGATGGGAGTTGGGGTGGGAGTACCAAACTCCTTCCTTCCTTCCTCCATCCTTCTGCAGGTAAATCATGCTGATTTTCATCAAGGACTACCCTACAGCCCTTTTAGACCAAGTAGTATGATGATATTAACTTCATCCTCAATCTAGTAGTGAACATGGGATTTATATCTGACCCATCAGAGTATTCTAGCCTCTGATCATAGTAATTGGTTCAAGGAAGAATACATGAGCTACTTAGAGCCAGTAATACACACTATTAGAATCTTTTCTAAGATTTTTGAAGAGAAGAAACATTTTCCTTCCTTCCTTTTGCTGTTTTGCTTTTGGATTTTAAACTGTGGAGACATAAACCTATACTGTTGGCATCTATACTTCTACCCAAAGGAGAGCTTTCTTAATAATAGAGCTAAGATAAAGCAAGGAAAAGCCAAGAAATGAAGAAACATTGGCCTTGATAACACTGCTCAAGGCTCCCAATCCAACCATGAATAAAGTCAATTCTACCTTTGGACTTTTATGTTACATAAGCCAGTGTTTCCTCAGTGCTTACAATGGTTTGGATATGTATTTTTGAACTTGAAACTTTAAAATTTCAATTAATTTCATCTATGAACAGGACATGTGATTTTTTTTCATGAAAACTAAAAATATATTAGGTTTTCTTATTACCAGGGCTTCTAACCTTTCACATCAGGAACATGAACTGTTATCATCTCCAGAAATAAAACTAAATTTATAATCTTTCAAGCAGAACTGACCCAACTGCTATAAAAGGACTCCCCTGGACTAATACTGTCCGTAAATGAGCCAATAAGATCCTTTTTTCCCCTGGAGGCAGAATGGCAGCAACAATTAGGCATCTGTGAAAACGAATGCCAAGTAGCTCCAGAAGCTGCAGGAGGACAGATAAACTCCCACCACCGCATTCATTAGCTACTGCAGTGGGTGCCAAACCAGAAGGGAAAAACATGACTGAATGAATCGCCATCATTTTTAGTCTGCCAATTACTACATGCACAAAAGTGAAATAAATAGTATATCTCGTTTTAGAAAATGTGTCAGTACTTCAAGAGCCCCACCTTGAGTTGTGTGAAAGTGTAATTTGGCAGAAATTATCTTTTCATTACTCTGCCTTGAATGCAGCTGTGTTTGAGTGAAATCTGGAAACCCCATTCAAAGGAGCACTTGGTTGAACACACTCCGCACTCAGATGAAACGTTAGCACTAATGAAAACCTGTAACTCTCCAAATGAAGACTACCACAAATGCATAACCACCGGTCTGGTCTTGACAGGATATGCTTGTGGAGTACATGATGGGAACTTAAATTTGGGAAAAGGAGTCAGAAAAATGTTAGTCATCAATGCCCTTAATTATAGGTTGGTGATTTAGAGTGCTTAGAGGGAGAGGGGACGTAGTCAAATGACATTTATTTAGTCATATGCTGATAAGAAAAACATGATTCAATTTAACGTGTTCCAATGCACACTGGAGGCCAAAGTGAGCTATAGTTACTGCAGGAACCTCAAAGGGAAATATGAGCAGTGTTGTTGCTACCGTCTGAGCAACACTAGAGTCTAGTGAGATGAAAATCACTTGTACATGTCTGTAGGAACAAGAGAAGACCTTGCCACTGGTCCTTGGTCATGACCTCATTCTTTCCAAATTCTCTTTCTACTCTTCATACATGTTGTCCTACCACCAACATAAATAGTTCTTAGAGTAACTTCTAATAAAGAAAACACATGTATAGAGTTCTTTAATATCAATAATCTTGAGTTATAGCAATTATGTTCATTTAAGAATTATTTTAATTTTATTTCTAATCCAGGAGCAAAATAAAGGGGGAGGGCTATCAAATGTTTGCAAGCAATACTAAAATGCAAGACTAATATCCCAAGATCTTAGATAAAGAAGGGTCCCAGATGGATGGAATGCTTGACAGATATGATACTTTCTTGCTTTCTTGGGATTGATAAGATATATTCGAACACACTCTGTTTATCACAGTCTGGCAAGATTATATCGTATTTTCTCATTTTCCCCAGCTCCGATTGTAATTTGTCTTGTTATGCTTATCCTTTATTTGATTGATTATTTCTCATTTTGCTGTTTCTTATTACACACTAATATCTTGTCTGTGGATATTTATCTTAACACATTTTGTATTAGTATATAATAATATCTCTTCTGTTTGATCTTCTCTAGTTCATATGCAGAATGACTTCTGATCTTTATTTCTCTAAAATCAAAACTTATTTGTTGTAAACAGGTAAAAAATATGACTACTTCACTAAGCTGTCTTCTGTAGTTGTGCCTAAACATTTACATATTTAAATATCCATCACTGTTTTAAATTTATCTTTTATCAAAATAAAATTATACTGATTTTTAAAAATTAGGCAATAAGCATGTTGTTTATTCTGTAAATTCAATTTTAGGGTAGCAAAAAGGTCATTATAAAGCAGTGTTATAAAATAGACCATTAAATTGGAAAAAAAAAGATCCACTTTATCCAGGGTCTTAACAAAACTCAAATGGGATATGCATTTAGTCTCTAACAAAATAATTGACATGCAGTATGTGCTCAATAAATATAAAATCTCATAAGATGAGCGGAGATGATTACTTCTGACTCAAGAAAAAAGGATCTCAAAAATCACACAAATGAAAATGCATTTCACATAGAATTATGATTAGTTTTAGCAGGAATAGAGACAGAAATCTTCCTTCATGGAACAATGTTTGAGCAGAGGTGTAAAGATATAAAATAACAAGTTAAAACATGCTTGCTTTTCCTTCCAAGAAAAGTCGACACGGACAGTGATTTAGTCTTTAATGTTTTGATAACCGATTTAGATGTTAAAGATTTAGTCTAGATGTGAAAATACCACAAAGTTAGGATAACAATCCCAAGGAAATATCAAGCTAAGGGAACAGGGAGAAGGATCTGAGTGTCAGAAAATTGGATGAAAATAAAAAGCTGGAGGTGGGAAGACCAAGTATCAATGGAGAAAAAGAAAAAGCTTTTTGAAGTTCCTCTCTTGAAAGAGGGTAGATCTAGGTAAGCCATATCCAGAAAGAGCTGGTTACTGAAGCCACAGATAGAGTGGG